TAAGTCAGCAGCAGTTCGTGCGCGAGAAAAGGCCGAACGGGCTCGAGTGCGAGCTGAGAAATTGAAAGAAAAGGCTTTTGAAGCGAAAGAGCTGTCTGAGAAGCTGAAATTGAAGGTCGAAAAAGCGAAAAGAGCTGCCGATCGAGCAGCTTCTCGGTCAGATAGAGAAAAATCGCGTTCGGCATCGTCTAAGTGGTCTAAACTGACTGAGCAATACAAAATGGCCAATCGCCGTTCAAGCAAGTTGCGATCATTGGTTGAGAAAGCTACCAAGCGTTACAAGAAACTACTACGAAAGGCGGAAAAGCCGGTAGAAAAAAAGCGCTGGGAACGGGTGAAGGATGGTGGCAAGAATCATCGAGCAGATGCAAATGAAGCTGTTTTGGCCCTGCTTCGAAAGGAAATGGCTCGAATAAAAGAACGTACCGCCACTCGGACCTATATGTACGAGACAAAACCGCCGGTTAAATGAGCTTTAGCACGGGTTTCCCAAAATGCTTCGTTCTTTTTAAGTTTATGATGTTTTTATTACGAGTATTTCATTTAAGCCTTGAACCATGTTGTTATTTTTCATAAGGTTCGGTTATTTATAGTGCCATTGTTTATGCTTTGTTGATTCCTGTCGCAATAACACTTCAATTGTTAACGTTTCTTGCTCATTGAAAGCTAGTAATTATTTGATAATTTTTGTAATTTTTGCAAATCAGCTATTTCTGTGTATCTTTGTGGCTTTGCTTCAGGTTGTTATTGATGATTTTCTCGACTTACTGGTTCTTGCTAGCTCGGTTCGCTGTAATTTGATAAATACTAATGATTATAGCAATTTTTTGTAGTGGTGTTGCAGCCGATAACCCGTCAATTCTAGTTTTTATAGAGCCACTGACATCGCGGCTTGATCGATATTTGATTTTAATGGGTTGGATCTCAAATGCAGGGTGTGAACCTGCCCTCTTATTCGGAAAACGAGAAGAGCGTCGGGTGCAGACACATACTATAAGTTACGACGGCCAAAGAAAAAAGTAAGAAAACACCCTTTGGTAAAAACCCTCTTTCTTGGTCGTCGTCACTTAAGGTGTGTGGTCTGCACTCGCCGCTCTTCATTTCCGAGAGTAAATGTGGGGGATATTTTGCCGAAAGATTCCCTCCCCTTTCATGTCCCAAGAGCTGATACGACCTTTTCCAATTAGGGGACCTGAGGTCGACTTATCTACCTCTCCAGGTTCTACTCGACTCGCCATCTTTTTCCATACTATCTTATTTGCTCAAAAACTTACTCGCTAAAGGAGAAGAAGGGGGGAGGGGGCGTAAAGCTCCGGAAATTGTACCGTGAGAATCCCCATCATAATGCTAATAAATAAAGGATAAAGCATTTGCCGTTGATCAATCCCTTTTTGGGATGCGGCACGCATTCTACTTCCATTTGTACATTCGTAGTGGCGTTTGAATGCGATGTGGCCTATACAATGACTTGCGGGGGCCAGCCGATGTACAAGTCAGTGTTTTTATCCTCCCAGACAAGTCTGGTACCAATTAACCGACCCCGGAGGGATGGAAGGCTTGGTTGGCCCGGGCGACTCACGACCCAGGATTTGATCCCCGGACCGCTCGCGTGGTAAGCGCGCCACTTGCCACTACACCACTTCCACCCCCTTATTAAGGTGAAAGCGTTCCCTTATCAAGTAAACTTCGGCTATGACTGGCACTGGTCTAATTAGGAGTCCAGCCAGGGAAACAGATTATCAGCTGTTTGCACATAAGAGATTTCATAGCATCTGTGCTGAATGTGGCTGGAGGGGGAGGGACAAACAAGGGAGCAATGTCCAATTGGGATCAGGGTCATTTATGCAGAGCTTATTCTAAACACACTAAGCAAATACGGGTATGATTTCAGATGCTTGCAGTGTGCTAGTGGGGGTGGGGGAGAATTCATGCTCAGTTCGCAGTTCTCGAGTGTACTTTTGGATTGCCAGGCTAGACAAAATTTATGAAGCTGCATTCATATTCATATATTCAAGAAGTACTATAAAATTAGTAGAGAACTAATAGAGTGAAGCTGATGACGCTATGTTGCCTACGCGCATGGAAAGAAAAAGACATTTTTTTTAGTTTTTCAAGCATTAATGCGAGTCTGGGAATACGCCGTGCACTTGTATTCTCTTCAATTATGTGTAAGTCCCGTGAAGATTTGGAGGGGGGGGGGGGCGACAGATTTCCAATTCAGCTTTACCGACCATTCTGGAGCATAGCGTGTGTGGCTGAATCAACCATTCCAAGAATCAGCCAAAAAGATTTGGCTAACTGAACGCTTGGTTCCAGAAGCTGCCAAATATAATAATTGTAGAATTTAGCGATAGAGATATGATGGAATGGGTGGAAATATAGTTGGGAGGGGCACTTCGTTGTTGTGCCCACATCTCTAGGACAAGTAGGTATAATAGAGTTGATAAGTGCTAGCGACTCATGTGCCTTTTGATTACGATGGTCTGAATCAGCTTCAAATGGTCAGTACTGAGCGCCTGTAGATGGACATTTTGCGCTGAGTTTAAGAGCTGGTGACGGGTGGGGTGCAAAGAAGACTTATGGGGCAGGTCGATCACCCATCGAAGTACTGTATATGCAAGAGGGTGAATAGGGTGTGTTGGCTGCAGGACAGTTTCAGTCATTGTCAAAAGGTATACTTGGAAAGATGCGATTGCATGTAACCAGTTTTTTTTCCTTAGCTCCTTAGCGTTGGAGACGCAGAGCAGAGCAGAGTGGCATCCCCTCCCAACTCCATTTGCACTGTGTCTTCATATTTTCTCCTCTTCCTTGCAGTTACTTGAGTATTCCCTATAAATGTTCCACCACGAAAACAGCTGTTCAGCATACAAGCATTGGCGTATAAGGTGAAAACTTAAACTATCATCTTTTGCAACGTTACAATATAGTCAGAATTTGGAACAGAGTGGAGTTCAGCACAAATCGGTTATTTCACTCTCACAGAAGATGTTTTGTTTCTTCCTAGGCAGTCACGCTTACTTCAGCTTTTGATTGATTTTGGGTTCTTTTCAGCCAACCTTTCACAACATATTAGTACGAGTCATGCCCCCTCTACCAATTTTGGCAAAAAACGGGAATCGATTTTTGTCGTGGAAACCGCTTTGGCAATATTTTGTTATAACGGGGCCTATGGAGACTGATTTCGTAGTGTGTAGTCGACTCCGGTGGAAATGGAGTTGGAGGGCGCCATTCTGTTCCCTTCATGGCTCTAATAAAGGGATCAAGGCAAGGGTTCTGATAACGCTGAGGAAAGAGCTCTGAGACACTTTTATCGACAGAATGTTCTAATAAGGCCCATCTGAATCAGCCTGGAACGGCGCGGAGAAGCGAGGGCTAATAGCTGTATATTCTTGCCTGGGCCCAGGGGCTTGAGGTAAGGTGGAGGAAGCAGATCCACAGGGGTGGGCCACTAAAACTGTGCAAAGAATGACTTGGTTGTTGATGATTTCATATGGCATTCCACCGGCTCTAATCATTAATTTACTTTAATTGAGCTTGTTATCAGAGCTCTTGTGCTTATCGCTGGGTATACCCTTAGCCTTGTTTTGATCCTCATCGTGAGAGCCACAAGCAGAAAGGATAATTATGAGGCACTTGCCGTAGATCAATCCCTTTTTGGGATGCAGCACACATTCCACTTCCGCATTCTTCTGCAGGATGGATGGCTCCCATGCAACCTCCCTTCTATCGTCGACTCCTCTGCCTGCACTGCAAAAAGAAAAAAAACATCCTGCCTTCTGGCTAAGTTTATCAGCGTGCTTCATCCTCATCCCTGCGTCCGTATTGTGCTGGCCTAATCCAGGTCACGGTGAGCCTCAGCTCATGTTGGTTGAATCCCTATGCTCAAATAAGCCTGCGGGCCAAACTGATTGTTTTCGCATAGTGGATTACATAGACGTCGTGTTGTGGCCGTCGTGCGTGATGTGAGGTGGTTCGTCTTGTGAATTCCGTCGTGCCGGTCGTTATCGTAAACTTCGTCTTTGAGAATTGAGTGTTCTTCGTAAGTCTTGAGACAGTAATCGCAACAACGACTGAAGGCAACGGCTGGTATCCCATGATTCCAGAAGATAGCCTCTGGCGCTCATGTGCTTGGGGGTGGGGGAGGGAAGGTGGAGATATTCAACAACAGGCACTCGAAAAACCCGCTAGTAAGGGATACAATAGGACCACCGTCCTGTCAAGGTAGAACGCCAGGGAAAAATGCTGACAGTGCCGTCCCATGAATCCTTTTACAACTCTAAGCTCAAGTCTCAGCGGTACTGCTTGGTCTCCTTCGCTGAAGATCCCCCTCCAATGACGATTAGCGCCGAGCCCTTTTTACGCTGTAAGAGGTCCTGTGGTCCCTGCCGCCAACCCGTTCATAGTGCGTCTAGCCTGGATCACTGACGATATATAAGTATTCGAGTATGAAGGACCCACTAAATTGTTCCGGTGAGGTGGCATCTAGAGAGCTCTCTCACAGACACTTTAGAGACTTTGCTTTCACCGACCTGACCACCTTTGGTTCGAAGGCTCCCTTCGTAGATTGTAACGATATAGTTTGGGTACGAATCAGGGTTTTATCCACTTTCCGCCTAGTTCTTATGAATTTGCTACTCCAGGTGAGACCTGCACAGCTACTACACTAAGATGAGGGTGGTAGTTTTGCTCTGAACCAGATCTAGTTTCCATTCCACTAGGAAGCAGATTCATTTGTTGGTAAAGGCTGGGACAAAGTTCAAAGCTAATGAGTCGTATTCGACGACAAAACTTTTGGTTCCATTACTGTAGTCAGAGTTAGTCGTTAGTTTTGTCGTCGAGTAAAGTCTCGTCAACGTCCGCCGTTCTGAAAGGGAGCAATCAGTCCGTATTCCAAGTGTGATGATGTGTGGTGGCGAGAATTTCGGATGACAGCTGGATGCGGTCACTTTGGAGCCACATACACTCTCTCACACACATCGATCGTTGACCCTCATCGGCCACCACGGACTCCGCCCCGTCGAAGCTGGCCGACGACGGCCGCCGACGGCAACGGCGGGAGGGAGAGCGGGCGGTCCAAGACCCTCAGCCGCTGGCATTTTCAACGTCACAACAACGCATGTGAACTTCACTGCCACTGCTGCTGTCAGCAGCAGCTGCTTGTCGTCGTCACATCGATCGATTTCCCACATAATTCGTCCTTGTCCGTTATTATTGCATGTGTGTATGTGTATAGGTCGTGTACTCAATCGTTACGCCTTGTGTTATGTTGCCGTGACACACACACGCACATCCGCGCGTTGTCGTCGTCGTGGCCGTCGTTGATCATCGTGCTTGCGTGCGTACCGTAATCCTTTTACCAGAGCAGGACAAGAACGGCGCGGTGAGAGTGCTGTGGAGGCGGGAGACAGCGAATCACAGCGTCGCAAAGATATGCGATGGACTGTGGTCTGTGGTGCGTGTTCA